AAAAACTCAGAAAAATTCATCTTTCTGGAACGGATATATATTAAGTAGCACGAGCAAACAAACTATTAGTGGGAGAGCTTGTGTCAAAAGAAGAAGTTCTCTATAATTTTGAGTCGCTTCTTGAAAAGGGCCTTCTCATCTCGACTCTTTTGCATTTCAGCTTCAAGCTCTTCCACTCCTCGAGTTAATGTCCCGCTTCAAGCTTAAAAATCTTGTACTTTTGTTGTTTTTAAAATCAGCGTTTACTATACATTAAATGGTTTTAAGTAGGTATAGATATTATGTTTGATGAATTGGTTTAGCAGACCTTAAATTCTTTTTTCTTGTGTTTGATAATATATGTTTTCTTGTAAATTGTTAGAACATCAAAACAAAGTCGGATATTTGGACTCGAATCACTTCAAAATGAGATTTTAATATCTTCAGAAACTTCTTCAGAAAGAATGTGCCCTTTTCAAGAAGCTTTTGAAGAAATTAAAATTCCATTTTGAAGTGATGAGCGAAGACATATATTATCAAATACAAGTAGATTCGACAGTTTCGGCAGATTGGAAATTTGGTCCTCTCCTATATGAGAGTCCACCAACTATTGGTGGACGAGTCATCTACAAAACCAAAACATATATTATCTAGTGCGAAATAAACGACTCTTTAAAAACCAAAAGAGTAAATTTGATCGGACGTTCTATATAACAAGAGCATATAACGAGCATGCGTAGTATATGAGCAACAAATCAAAATCTTCGACGCCAATAACTCAAAATAAAGAAGCGTTGCAGTTTTTTTGTTCTTGTAAAATTATAGACATAGCATATTTGCAAAGAAAAACAATCTAACTCATCTATGTTTCTATTCAACAATGGTAATGCTTTTCAATCTAACTACTTTGAAGTGATCAAAAAGAACGAAATAATAGAACGGAATAACACAATTACAGCAATAACAGATTGCAACAGATATCAACTAATTTAAAACACGATCGAAGCAACAAGAAATCGTGGCAGAAAGATCAAATAATTTCAAACCTAGGTAATTTTATTAATTACTCCAAATAAAAACCAGAACTCTAAAGTATTAAGATCGATTACAAACGAACCTTGAAACTAGAATGGATGCGGCGAGAGTAAAAGTCAGACTCAGAAAAATAAGGCTTTTCATGAGAGAAAATTCTATATAAATATATTAAGGAAAAAAATTAGGGCGCCCCCCCCCCCGGCCGCCCCAAAAGGGGGAAAATGTTATTTGTTAACACGATAATAAATAAAAGTATACAATGAAAAAGTAACAATACAAAATTACAAATATATTAACATTTTAAACGTTTTTTAAATATTTTACGGTAGAAGCAAAAAAATTAAAAATATATATGACAAAACATGACATTGCAAGCTATTTTTTAGAAGTATGAAACATTGGTTATAAATGAAAATGCACCAAAGAATTATAAGAATGTAACAAATCCCCTATAATCCATTAGTAACCGTAGAACGAGTTTTTTAAAGAATACGCAACTATATAATGTATTAATAACAATAAAACCGTTTTTAAAAAAAATGCAATCCTAAACTTTATTAATAACCATAAAACATTTTTTCCAAAAAAAACGCAATTCTAAAATACATTAATAACAATAAAACATTTTTAACCTGAAAGGACACAATCATATGATACAAACTATACAACGATTTTTTAAAGGACACAACTTTATAATGCATTAAATCGTTTTTTCGAAAAAATGCAACCATCTGAAAAATATAAATCATTTTGTGAAAAGAAGCATTTTTACATAGTCCAATTCGAATTCCAAATTCATTAATAACCATAAAATAAAATTTCTCGAAAAAACTCAATCCTAATATGCATTAATAACCACAAAATATTTTTTACTCAGAAATACAATCTTATAAAGCATTAACTACAAAACATTTTTTACTCAGAAATACAACCCTAAAATGCATTAATAATCACAAAACAGTTTTTTCAAAATATACAATCTTAGCATTAATAACCATAAAATAGTTTTTTCGAAAAGATGCAATCACAAGAGAAATTAATAACAAGAAAATATGCAAACCTAATAGACACTAATAACCATAAAACTATTTTTATTAGAAAAAGAACCCTAACATTAATAACCATATAATGGTTTTTCGAAAAAACGCAACTCTAAAAATTAAACTATAAAAAAAAATTTGAAAAGATACATTTTTACATATACCATTTTTTTTTTGAAAAGACGCAACTTTCGGATGCTTAATAACCATAAATGATATTTTTCGGAAAGATGCTATTCTAAGAAACACTAATAACCACAAAATAGATTTTACTAAGAAAACGCAATTATATCCTCTATATATTAATTGAGGAGACACTAAGCGAAAAAATTATATGTGTCATTCAATGAGGATTTTAAGAGATACATTAATTAAATTAACCAATCAAAATATTCTAATTAATTATATATACTATGTTTGAAATCTCTACATATTTACATTAATTTTTTAACATGAACTGACAAATATATATGTTACTAATTTAAATCTAACTAAAATATTATATTTTAATATTTTAAACGTTATATAACATAATGTTTTAATGATCAATCATTACCAATATCAATTACTTTACAAAAATTGTATATATGCCATTTGGATACCATATGTGATTGATAATACAATTATTATTTTTTATATCTTTTAATTCTATCAATACTTCTCTAATTAAAATTATGCTTTTTGTTATAAACGTACAGCTTTACAAATAAAAAATTAATCTTTGAATTTTTACAATCATCATTTCACTCTTTATTAATTCTTTGATTTTTATTTAATAAAATTTACATACAAACGCGATATTTTTTTAGATTT